GTGTGTATAACACGGACCATATCAAATTTGAAGTTTGGTCATGGACTGCAAGTTATTGTGGTTTGACTTGCTTCTTGTAATGGACATCATTTAAAGAGTTGGCAAAGTGCTTTTTCTAAGAATAATTTGTCAATTTGCATGGCCATTAAATTTGATGATACTTTAGAGCAATCAAGACATGAAAGTTTGGACTGCATCATAGAAGAGGTCAGATGACCAGCCACCAAAGAGGCTTTGAAACAGGGTACTTGTCTTGTGCCTAAACAAGTCCTGGATGAATGTGAGCATGAACTGCAAGTATGGCTGGATAATGGAAAGTTGCTACCATACTCTGAAGAGAGAATTTAGTCCCCCAAAAGACCCAATCTCACTGATGACTGTGTTACAGAAGAATAAAGGAAAGGTGTGCCATGTGTTAGACTATTGGGAATTGAATGATCATTTTGGCTCACACACAGCTCACTGCTGATCTTTGTACACAGGAACTGAGGGAATTGTGGAGGAAAGGATCCAATATCTCTATACTTACAAATGCCTACTTGCAGGTGCAAGTATACAAATCATTGGGGCTATTTCAGTAATCTTTAAGGTGCATGAGAATGATTGTGGATGTTGTCTTGTTGGAATATGAGTTCATTGAATTAGCCATATCATTTTAATGATATTTACATCAATCAAAGCATAGTGTACACAATGTATGTGAATTAGCATATGGCTAAATTTTGACTGACTTGTTAGAATCCAAAACAGTTGGACAATGGTACTTAAGTGGTAAACTTGTCTCAATTTGCATGACACAGCATGTTCTCATTGGGCAGAAAAGTGGTGGAACACTATGTGTGTGGGTGGACCCGTGTTGTTACAGCATTTGTTAAATTCAGAACAGCCACTATCACATCTGGTTGGGATGTTGAAGTAAATGATACCCCCCATTCTTCCCACCAAAAAAAAAAAAAAAACATAATCAGGGATCTCATTGCTGGTGTGTAGATAGAAACATTTAAGGTGTGGCTTGATGTGAGCTCTCTTGCTACTGGAGTTTCATTTGAGCTCAATAGAACTGTCATTAAAAATGCGTGCTGATTGTCAGATCATATTCAACATAAACCTGGTTGAACTTTAGGCTATGCTGAAGAGCATTGGTTTTGTCACTCCATTGAGGAGTGACAGTACTGTACCTGTTTGCAAACTCTGTATGTATTCATTGATGGACCTCCAACACTCCTAACAGGAAAGGCCACAAAAGTTGAAAGTGAAATATTCATTTGAAGACAGTTCAGCACTCTTGAAAAGTTGGTTACAAGTTATTGGTAGATTTAACATACGTCATATTGGATCCGAATTTGGTGAACAAGCAGATGAAAATGCTGCAAAGATGGCTTGAAACAATAAAAAAGGAGGTTGAACCAATCAATTTATCTGTACTAAATTGATAAAGAAAATTAGTCCTGATTTGATAAAGGCTCTACATTCTCAAAGTAGGCATTCTGACATTAAGACACTGTACTTTGTAAGGCTGCTCTATCCCATGGTGTTAAAGTTAGAAAATGTAGAGAGTGCTTATCAACTAGTTCCATTTGATATATATTATGGTGATACCTGCATTGCCAGGATCCTCTGTGGTATCTAGACTTTATGAATTTAAGTGCAGTGACAAGGCCTCATCATTTTACAGTTGAAATGACTTAATGTAATCATAAGTCCTATGCTAACAGTTTCTTTTCTCGTGTGTGAAACTCTTCTGGTTTCTTGTTTTCCAGCTGATCTCCCCAACAACTACAATTCTTAGTAAACTTTTTCAAGTATAACTTGGGTCAATGGGGAGTGCAACTCTGATGTGCCTATAATCCTGCAGGTAGTAGTATAGTAGAGAGATGCCATCAATGCATTAAGTGCCAGAAAGCAGTGCTTGATAATGGAGGCAGTGTACAAGCACAATGTTGCACCAAAGGATGACACATCACCCAGCAGCTGCACCTGCTAGTATGATCCACCACTACCAAAACTGAATGAAAGGAATTGATACAAGATCCTTACCTGAACATAAAAAGTAGCAAATGATGTATGAAATGGAAGACCATATGTGCGTAAAAGGCCTCAACACTGTTCATGTACATCTAAGTGGGATGAGTCATTAAGATCAACATCCTGTGTAGATCCTGAATGATGGGATGCATACAATGGGAAGGACCGTCCCGTCTTCATGAGTTTTAGCACATTGTTGAGTGACATAAGTAGTATATACTCAAAAAATGGAAGCGTATTTGAGTTCAGAATGAGTGCATCTAATAATTCCTTGAAAGCAAATTCAGGTGCATCTGATCATTCCTCAGGAGATGACTCCTCCATAGAATAGATACTGACTGCCCCACTACAAAGGAGCACCAAGTTCAAGAGACCCATCCCAAGCAGTCATGTTTATGATCAGGAGATAAGTGGTGAGTATAACAAAGAAGGTGGTAGTATCTTACCTTACCAAACAAAATGCTCATGTATTGTGTGTAATATCTGCTGAATGACCAAACCTGAACTCTCTCTAGTTCACTTTAATAGAGAGCCTGTCTGCTCATGCAAATTTTATTTGATTAATTGTGGGCATCTTGAGGTTATATATAGCTCTTGAGTTTTGAGATGCATGTGAATTTTTTTCTAGTGACCTAAAAAAGTTTGAGTCACTGGAAAAAAAATTCTCTTCTGGTTTCTTGCATATCAAATTATCTATTGTGGCAAAAAAGACAGTAAAAGTCTGAATTGGATGGCTTTAAATGATACTTTGCCTATGATGGATGACCATGTGACCTACTGGTTTGTAAATTAACCTGTGATGTATTTTTGATATTTGCATTATGACATGGATATATAGTCATTAAAACTAGCAATATATAGACAAATTAATTTGTATTAAGCATTTATTATTATTATTATTATTATTATTATAGGCACCACTGTGAGATTGCTGGAAAATGAGCATAGCATAATAAAAACAGCCTTACACTTGACGAAAACAAAATTTTATCTTCAAAATGTTTGTTACTATTAAGAGGAATGAACAAAGTAATTTTTAATTATTTTTTAAAAATTTTCTGTCTTTTTTTTAGAACATTCTAACTTTTGACTTAAAAAAACAAAAAAAAACTTGTTTCTCTTCATCAGCAGATGTCCTAGTAAATAACATTGAAAATTTTAGTGTTTTTTTTTTTTTTTTTAATGACAGACATTAGATTTGAAAATCTTGCAAAAATAAAAATAATTGTCGGATTTTAATGAAACTTTCAGAAACTATTCACAAATGATGGAAATTATTATAAGTATGTTTATTTTTTTTTATATTTATTACCCTCCCCCACCTAATTTAATGAAAACTCTAGAAATTCAAGTGTAGGTTTTTAGTAATTAATTAGTTAAAAGCACAAGGCTTTGAGGAAAGTAAATCATGTTTTTTTTTTTTTTTTTTTTTTTTTCAGTTGGACCCCCTCTACCTTAAAATCAGCTCTAAATTGTAACATACAAAACTCAATAAAACAAAGATATTATTTAATTTTAAAAGCTTTTAGTTGCTTTTACTTGTTTTTGTGAATATGGATGATATTGTCTGAAAGCAAAAAACTTTTTTGATGAAAAATAAATTTTTACAACAATTATTTGTTATTTCTTAAATTATTTTATTTTTTTTACATTAAAGTTGTTAAATATTCTAAAATTAATGAAAATGATGTTCAGTTTAGTTGATGGTGTTATTAAGTAGATTTATCTGTACTGAATATAAATTGTAATGCTGCTTACAATCAGCAGACCCCAACTAGATAAAAAATCTAATATAACATGGTTTTGTGTGTCCATGAAACAGCTGTAATTCAAATCTATGGAAGGCCAGGAGCACAATGAAAACGATAAACTGTCACGTGGTTTGCGTTGGCATATAAATGTTGTTCCCTGCTGTTTTCAATACTGTCATATAACTTAAGATTAAAAAATTGGGGGTTAAAAATTAACAAAAGAGAAAAAAAAGTGCAATATTTCAACTGATAAAGGGTACCTACAAAGTATTATGTATCTGTCTTATGAAATTTATATGGTCTTATTTTTATATTATCTCAGTTATGACATTTTTCCATGAATGAAGTATCAAATTAATAAACTGAGTGGAAATACAAATACTGTAAAATGTAATAAATATACATAAAATCTTAATATATTATGTACACTTATGATAAAATTTCATAAAGGTACCTAATTAATTAGGTACTTTCTTATGAAATTTTATCTCACTCTCAACAGTCTTATTTTAATTTTTTTTTATGGTATTATATTTTTTCATCAATCATCGTCAATGTAAAAGTGGAAAGTTAAGTACCAAAAACCCCCAAAAATTAGAGCACTGAAAACTTTTCCTTAAAAATAACGAGGTAAATAAGTTGGTTTGCTTAAAGCTAATTCATATCACTTCTACCCTTCTGTATGATAACTTTTCCTCATGTAAGCTGTCAATACATGATGAAATCATCACTTATCACACATGTCAATTGACACCACTGTTAAGACTTACTTTCTCTTATTTTAAACTACATATTTTTCAGTGTGGAAAGTAAGTAATGTTTGTTCTAAAATATATTAAATAAACTTTATAATTTCTAATTTTCTGAAAATAAATTAAAAAAAACAGTATAACTGATTTTTGGCAGAATTTTAAACAGAAAAAATCACTTTTGTTTACAAAATTGAAAAAAAAAAAGGCTGATGATTGATTTTGTGTCTTTTTTTTCCTTAATAAGAAAAAAAGATCATTTTTAATGAAAATTTTGTGTGTGCTAGGAATGATTGAAAAATGTAAAATAAATAATCAAAAAATACTTTGATCTTTCCTCTTGATAATAGCATAAATATTTAGACAATAAAAAATTATTTTCGTTAAGTTTAAGGCTGTTTTTATTATGCTATGCTCATTTTTCCAGCAATCTCATGGTAGTCCCTATATTATTATTATTATTAAAGTTCTGTTTATGACCATGTCATGTTGAAACACCAGTTCTTGTTTGACCACTAAAGTTAATCAATGTTAAGCCTGTGCAGTACTCAGATGAGTAACTGCTGGGGAATACCAGGTGCTGTAAGCTATTCAATGAGCTTAGCAAGCTGGTAATGGATACAATTTCACTACTTATACAGAAAACCTTACTTCTGGACTGACTGGTGGCAAGACCTACCTGTTTGGTGAGTGTAGGGATTAGTTACATTTTGGATAGAAACATTATGAATAGTGTGATCTTTTAAGCTTTAATAATGATATCATTTACATCTATAAAAGATCTAAATTCTTGAATAAATGCTTATAAAGAACACCAAGTGTTTCTTATTTTTATTTTACATGTTACTTTAAGTTTTTGTATTTTTCTGCAGTTATTTATTTTTTGTAAATATTGTTGGTTTTAATGTCAGAGGAATGACTGCTGAAGTTTCTTCCTAGCCAATAAGATTGGCCACTTCTTGGCCTCATCAGACTTAGTTTGTTTTTTCTTGTTTTGAAGCTGGAATGCTACAATAGCTTGTCTGTATCCTTGTCTTGTGAACTTTCTGCCCTGTTCTTTACTTTCTCTTGTTATTGTTCATTGTAAACTTTGTCAATTCTGTTTGTTGGGCATTTCTACCAATTACATTTAACCATGGCCAATTATTCTACAAATATGATTTAAGAACCAATTCTGGATCAATTTATTCTTTTAAATGAAAATGAAAAAAACAACAACAAAAAACAAGGATCAGTGGATTGTTTTGTTCACAGCAATAATTCAAGACATATATTCCTGTAACTCTATTTTTTGTTTACATTCTGGGTGGTCCAAAAAGACAAAGACCACCAAACTGGAATATATATGATCTAAATAGTAAGTAGAGGTTAGAAAAACTAGGTGTTGAGTATTTCTCTAAAATTATTCAGGATTTTGTCATGACTACTTTTATTTTAATTTTAAAATTACCTCTTGATTTTAAATGTATTATTTCTAATATGAAAATTCTTTCTGGGAGCGATTTACTTGACATTTATATGTAGCTTTTTTTTTTTTTTTTTTTTTTTTAACCAAAATATATTTTTGTAGCTTCCAGCTGAAACAAATCATTGTGAGGAAATGCTATCCTCATTTTGTTCACCAGAAAAAGCTTATATGACCTTTTTGATATAGTATTATAAGTTGTCATCTTGTAGCTAGGATAATATCAGATTATAAAAACAATGATTAACTCTTTATAAAAGTTTTGCAAATGTTTAATTTAAACTAATAAGACAAGCATCAATCAATTTTTAAGATATAAAGTATTTAATTATTCCTTGTGCTTTATGAATCTTGAGAGTACAAAAAAGACGTAAGAATTAATGTTTTTCCTGCTTATTTATCCTTAGTTATAATTGATTTAATAAGAAGGAATTGGAAATATAATTGTCAACATTTCTTTATTCATTTAAAAAAATAATCAACACAAGATTATAAAAAAAATTGGCTATAGTATTGTTAGGTATTGTTGAACTCTGCCCATGTTGGTAGAAAACTACATTTGTAGAACTCTAGTGAGGATACAAATCATTAGTAATATTGTGCATAAATTGTGTTACTCTCCAACAACTGCTTCCAAACAGACTATTAATGGTAAATTGTCACCTTATTGAAATAATTAAATAGGCATGTAAACCGTTAGCCAATGTTAGTTAATTTATAAGTCCAGCAAATTGTTAGAAAGTGATTAATTAAATGTAAGTATGATCATTTATATCAAGAAATTCAAACTTGTTTCTTCCTTTATTTTAGGTTTATGACTGTGTTTATATCCAATTTTTTGTGAACCTATTTGTAGAAAATTATTCTTGGTAACATGTTTTCATATTTTTTAAGATATTCATAAGAAACTTGCCTAAAGACCGGTAAGGGAACAACTCATGATCATCATACAACACTTGCCAATGTAGCATTCACGTTTTTGCTTTCTGCATTCCCTCCTTCTGGTCATTTTGTGTTTTGATGCTATAGAAAATCATGCTTGTTTGCAATTAGTTTTTTTTTTTATTGGCTATATAACATTGTTTTTATGAACCATTTTAAAGAAAATGTTTCTTATTTGAGAAGAAATAGTCTTGTTCATTTCATCATCATTTTGGATAAGTCATCTGTTGTCTTATATGTAATATGCAAAATAAGCAAAGTAAAAAAATCAGAATATACTGAAAAAATACTTTTTGTTGATGTCATGTTTGTCTATTTTCAAGTATTTATATATGTGTTTATATATAGTTTAGTCTTTCTTATTTTGTACAAAAAATGCATCATGCTTTAATTTTGTATAAATATTTAATGACTCCTGTGTTATCATTAGTGTTCTATTTTACTATGACAAGATAAATTCAAAGTTAATATTTTAATTCGAAAATATCTACTTCTGGAGTTTTAATGAGTGATATATATATTTTTTTATATTAGTTCATATGTAAAATACACTGATGTTGGAATATGCCTTTTCACTTATAAATTTTAGAGATTTTTGTTTGATTAATTTATTTTTAGTTTATCTTGAACTCTGTTAAATATTCTCTTACTTAGTGCAATTATCTGTGATTATTCAATAGAAATGCACACCTGTCAAAATGTCTGAGGATAAAGAATAGACTAAATTATCCCTTAAAAAAAAAAACACCTAAAAGTATTGAAACCTACAGAAGATTAATTTTTTTTTTTTTTTTTTAATGGAAACAATGATGCATTTCCTCAGTTATTGAGAAGTATCATTTTGTCGATCAGTTGTCATGCTACTACAACTTTTAGTTAGTTTATTTTTGTAATTGATTTATATTAATATATCTGATTAATTCAAGATGATAATTTGATGAGATAACAAACATGTCTTTAATTTTTTTTTTTATTGTTTTATTTTTGTTTTGTTTCAGTCTGTTAATTTCCAGTATCTTGTTCCAAACATAATGTTTCTTTGGAATGTAGTTCTATTTATGCTATAATGTAGTTGGGTAACACTCACTTTTTAATTTAATGATTAAAAAAGCACTAATAAGAAAGAAAAATATTAGTCATTCTACTATGTGTCAAATTTTTAAAAAATATTTCACCTTATTCAATAATAAAGTTTACTTTAGTAATAGTTTTAACAGTGATTGTATTATATTTTTGTTCCATTTTAATAAGACTCCTAATATTCAGAAAATATATTTATGTTGTTAATTAGAAGAATATGTAATCTGCATTTTGATGTACTTTTTGCTTTTTTTTTCTTATTTTTGAGAATGATTGAAAAATGTTTAGTTTAATGTCATATTAAAGAAATAGTGAAGATTGTTTTTTATAGTATAGGATTGTGATATTTATATATTAGATAATGTATTTTTCTAATTTAATTGTAACATTTCATTGTTATATTTTCTATTGGGTCCTATTCAAACTTTAATTCTTTCCTTGAGTTTGAAATAGATTTTTTCTTGTATAATACAGAAGACATAGGGTATTTGAGAATAAATTTTTGTCTCTGGAAAAACAAGCATATTTCACCAAAAATGGATATATTGTCACAAGTCTGTAAGCATGAACTTGGGTAGCTTCATGAAAGGTTTATTAAATATATACAACTTCAGTATCAATGACTGCTTCAATCTGGGATCGGAAGCATTGGCATGTCCAAATCAAATGATCTTTGTTCATTTCAGGTATTGTTTTAATAATAGTGACCTTCAGAGAATCCTTGGTTATTATGAGGATTAACCTTTCTCTCAACAACATTGCACATGTAGTTCAAAGGATTAAGATCCAGTGAGTTTGGAGGCTACATGTAAGGTGTTACACGACTGTGATGTCAGCTATCCATTCTTGTGTTGCTTGAGCTTTGAAGTCTTGTTAAAACATGTATGGCCTTCAATTGCATACTCTGTTTACCCAGGGTTAAAACAACTGCTTCAAGCATCTCAATATAACTAGTGATATCAACTCAAAACTTTTGTGAAAAGAAGTGGGGAGACATCACTCACTACTCACAACCCTAAACATCATCACAGTTGCTAGCAACTGTTGAGACATCAGAAGGGTCTGTACATCGCCACCTGTTGTTTCTCTGTTCACCTTTCAGTTCTGATGCAAGTTCTTTTCATCTGAAAAAAACCAAATGTTCTTCAGTGTTTGTTAACCTTGTTAAGCAGCTGCATTGCACAAATGATTCTCCTATGTTCACTTAGACATGATTTTTCCTCTCTGCATAACCAACATACAACTTGCATTTGAATGTCTTCATGAACCATAGTTTTGAATGTCCTCTCTGAAACCTAGAAATCTTTTGTAATTTCTCTTATGAATTTTCTGGTGTTCACATCAATGATGGTCTGAATCTGTTCTATGAACTAAGGTGTTCTAATGGTGTCAGAATGCTGAGAATTTATTTTTGGTGAAACATTCCTTTTGGAGACTTCCAAAATTGTGAACAAATGATCTGGCAACTTATTGCAACAATTACAGGGTGTCTTTTAATTTCTTGTGCCATTTTGTCATCTCTTGGTAGTTACCTGAAAAGATTATATAAGGGAATAAATTTATTTTGAAAGTAATAACTCTGAAATAGTATGTCCTCAAATATTCTCTATGCACTGTAAACTTTGTTTACCAACTCCATTACTCAGTACTAATAAATTTGTGTTTTGATCACTGAATAATCATAATATATTTTTTTAATTTAAATTTTATCAAATACTAAAGAATAAAATACTAAAAGTTTATCTTAGATAAGCTTAATTTGTTAGCACCATAATCTGTTAACTATTCTGTAAATCTTTTATTTCCTTTAATTTTACCATTTTTCATAGATACAGTAATCTTGCTAGACATTTCAAATTGTAACATTCCAATGTATTTTAGTACAGCTATGTTTAACTTTACAATTTTACAGTCCTCAGAAACCTGTATGGCAATAATATATGTTTGAATTTTTACTTGAGAAATAATTTCCATTTCTCTTTTCAAAAAGTTTTAAGGATTTAAAAAAAAAAAAATTGTGGAAATTTTAAAGCATGATATATTGATTATAACATGTTCAACAAATCAAATCTTAAGATTAAGTAGATTTAACTTTAACAG